CAACGAGGAGGGGAGGGAACAGCAACAAAGCAGAAGGAGCTTTGCAGAATCATGATGTCCAAGTGTATCATTCGTGCGCACTCCCAGGCATATGCTCGTTGCACGGAAGGCGAGGACTGTCAAGGCATGCCACCAAGCAGCATTTTTGATAGAAAGGCCAGGCCATAGCAGACAATTCATCAGATATGGCTTGAATTCACTCACCGCTTCCTCCAAGTACTTGCTTGCACACTTGAGGCATTTGTTGAGGACATCCTCCGCCTCCTGTAGGGTATACTCCACAAATACATCGGCCTGCATTCGCCACACGACCAAACAAACGCAGCAACACACAGTATGGATAATAAGTTGCAGAATGTCATACTGAACAGTGCGCATTAAAGGCTCACATATATCTGCTTAGGGCATATCCACCACTCCGGGCTCACAAACACTAGCTTGCTAGCTCGCTATATATCTAGCTAGCTATCTGGCGGGTTTACGTGACCAGCTAATTATTCTTACGGAGAGCCAAAGACAAACGGTGTCAGTTGGAGGAACAGTAGCCTGCACGTGGATTGTCTCAGCGAGTTGGAAGTGTGTTTGGAGTTCCCCATCGCCTCCCTCCTTGGCGATGTCCTGGAAGGAGAGGCAAAGAAAAAGTGAAGCAAATTAATGTATGAATACGTATATAAGTTTAAACAATATATATATATATATATATATATATATACATGCATTACAACTAAGGGTTCAATATATGGGGTAACGAGAGGGGTCCCTACGCGCTGCCTCTTCAGCATCTCCAGTGCACTTAGTGTCTCTTTTATAGCGAGTGTCTTGGCCCTCAGCGTATCTTTCTGTTCCAATATAGAACGCTCCATATAACGATATTTCCTAATAGCAAAAAAAGCGGAAGAGCTTAATTTAATGCATGTTGCATTTCCATCCCACTCACCGCGCATACATGCACGCGCACAAGTTTTACTTGTAATTTTTAAGATAGAATAATATTCTAAGAAATACCACACGCATCACGCAAACCTAAGTGTAGAAGCATAAAAACGCATCCACATGGCAGCGCATACACCCATCACTGGAAACTGGAATGGCCTAAAACCCGTAACCATCTTTGCTAAGGGCAAATATCATGCGGAGAGTGAGAAGATTGCAGCTGTACTGTAGAAGTTCTTTGAAGAGATACTCCACAGATACCGGGTTGCAGGCCCCGACAAATGTCTCCACTTTTTCCTGCAGCGCAACAAGACAAACCACAGACGAACGCAGTGAAGCCTCTGCACCAAAATCAAATCAACAGCTTCCACCCACTTCACTTCACGAAGACAGTACCACGAAGGGATATTGCAAGAAAGAAAGGGTGGAACCGTGGAACCAATGCGAATTCAAGCAATAAACAGCGATGCACATCAGCAGAGAGAAAACAGGTATTGCTACAAAGGCAAAAAAAAAAGCAACTACCTTCTCGTGTTTCTTTCTAAGTGACGCTACATTCAGGCTAAATGAGCAGATGGTACGTACTATGAACTTCGCCTTTGGAATGTTTCTGTGCTCCCCATTCTTCGCAGGGATGACGAGGTCATCCATACGCATTGTCTGAGCGCCAGAAGAGGTGAACAGGAAGACAGCGATATGTATGAAGAAAGCACCGGCTGTGCGCTGTACGGTGTATATGCAACTGAACTGCTCAATATGTCTACACAAATACGCAACAAAAGAGGCATTTTAGCCTAGGCAGGGCAAGTTGAATCCATTCGCTTCGTGATTCTGCAAAGACCACAACACTGTTGCGCCGTGTTGTCTGGCCATACCGGAGCTCCAGAGGGCGTTTGCGCCATGCCGATATGCGTTTAGTAGAAGAGGTNGTGTTGTCTGGCCATACCGGAGCTCCAGAGGGCGTTTGCGCCATGCCGATATGCGTTTAGTAGAAGAGGTAAGAGCGAAATGAAAACAAATTTGCAGGTTGAGCTGCCGAAGAGGCGGAAAACGCAACACCCAAAATGCTATCCGCCCGTTTTCAGGGGGTGCCGCGGCGGGATTTGCAGCCCACCAGTATAAGTTGTTCTTTTATTCCTTTTCTGGCAACATCAACTGCAGATATTCATCTTAATGCGAGAGTGCTGAGGACTAACAGATTGCAGGCAAAGCGGACGCCCCTGGCGCATGCACCGTATTTCTGTACAGGTTTCACAGGAACGCGTCGTAAACTTGGAAGCCACATGCCGGCTGTGGTTTTCTCCAGAAATAAAAAATAAACTCATAAATTGTACTTATAAATTCAATTTTACTAGAGCGTTTTAGTTTATCTTCCTACCTTCGCCTTCCCTTGTGCTACCTCATGTCTGCCGCCGTCGGCCGTGGGACCTCATCGATGCTTGCGATGGGCCGCGTGCTGCATTTCGTTGCTTTTTTTGCTGCAGTGTGGAATTCAAATGGAGTAGCTGGCTGTATTGGCAGCTGTTTGGTAGATATTAACGTGCCATCAGGCCGCAGGGGTGGCTGAAATGGCCACCAGCCTGCTATTTCAGCATCTGCAGCAGATCGGCTTCCCAGCACTGCAGCTACTGGAGGGAGTCCTCTGCTCGTGCGGACACACAGGCGATGTGGCGCAGTGCAGTGGAAGCAGCGGGGACGGCTGCTTCGGCGCCAACAGCGCCTTCGCAGACAGTAGCAGCTCCACCAGCGGCAGCAGCTACTCCAGCAGCAGCCGGTGCAGGCCCGCCCAAGAGGTTTGCAGATGCAGCAACGCTGGGATCGCGTGCCCAAACACCAGGGATTGCACTACCAATGGCTTCTGCTGCAACAGCTGCAGCAGCAGCAGCTGTAACTGCAGCAGCCTCCCTACTGCCGGGGATGATGCTCCAGGTTTACTGAGCAACAGCAGCAACAGCCATTGCTGCATGAGTGCAGAGTGCTTGACACATCGTATTCTATCGCGGTCTACCCCTTTGGTGCCGCCGCCCCCTCCATATAGTGCTGATACAAATGGGATTTCGCAGTGTACCTGCAACGGGAGCCATGATCCGTGCTGCAGCAGTTGCAGCAGTTGCAGTGGCAGTNTGCTTCGTGCGTTGTGGGAAGCCGGCGACATGACTGATTGGCCGTTATCTTCGGAGGGGCATTCCACTCGCCGCCGTGCGGTGGATTTAGAGGTCTGGAAGCTGCGTCCCAATGCTGAACTTAGCACTCAGCTTAAGCTGTGGGGCAATGCAGCTATGGCGCGTGGCCGGCCGGCGGCTGCTGCATCGCTGTACACAGCTGGAACACTGCTGCTTCCAAGCAGCAACAACGCCAACACCCCAAGCAGCAACAGTCTGTTTGCGGTGCTGTCCGCAAATGCAAGCCTTGCGCTGCTACGGCTTAAACGGGTCAGACGAGCCCTACGAACTGCGACGGAGGCCGTTGCGGCAGACCCAATGTACCGCAAGGCATGGCACCGTCGTGCTGCAGCTTTGGTTCACTTGCGAGAAGGAGTAGAGCGCTATTTCGTACCTCTCGGCAGCAACAGCAGCGACAGAAGCAGTAGCAGCGGAAGCAAAACTAGTCACAATACGAATTACTGCACTGCAGCAGCGCGTGCTTGTTTGCAGCAGATCGATAGAGATATCGCTGAGGCGCAGATGATGTCCCAGGGGCAGGCGAACGCTTCTGAAGCAGCTACTGCAGCTCGTCGCATGATTGTTGGTTGTTGCGGTTGTGGCTGCAGTGCAGCTCCCCGCCCTTCGCCCGAGGGCAGTGACCCTTTGTCTCATTCTCCAAACATTTGGCTTAGGAGAGACGTAAGCGCACAACTGGGCACGAAAGGTTGGAGTTTGGTGACAGCTAACGATGCGCCTTCTCGACTTGAAAATGATCCCTGCTTGGTCTTGGAAGAAGAAGCGCTTGCAGTGTACGTACACCCAGACCTCTGTACAGCTGTTCCGAAGATCCCCTTCTTGCTTCCCTCACACTACAAGTTTGCCACTGCACAAAGCCCAGCACAAAGCGCAGAGGGCATGAAGCTCCATGCAGATGCTATTGTCCGCGATGCGTGGGAGCAGCGCGTCGAGGAGGGTGCCGCGGGCAAGAAAGAGAGTGAAGAAAGAGAAGGGACCTGCCTTGAACTCAAGGACGAGACAGAGGGGATCTGCGCAGGCTGCGCGACGGTACCGGCTCGTGAGCAGGGAGCTGCAAGTGAATGCCACCTGCAGGAGTTCGACACCTGGAACAGTGCATTGAGCCATTTCCTATATCCAACCCTTCCCGTGGTGCCCTGTGGCTCCTGCACGGCTGCTCTGTTTTGCTGCCACGGGTGCAGAGCGGCTTCCTCTCACAAGCGTAGTTGCCGCTTGCAGCAACAGCAACAGGTCCAGCAGCAAGAGGTCAGTGGGATGGAAGTCTGTGGAGGACGCAGTGACAATTTAAGAGGAACGGGGGGAACTGCAGCAGCAAGTGTGGCAGATGCGCTATTGCAACCTTTAGCACTGGCGCTGCCAGATTCTCATCGTTGCATTGCGCGCCAGCTATTGGCTTCCCTGTTGCCACCAACAGCGGCCTCAAATGAACTAACAGAGGAAAGTGGCTCGACGGCATTTGCCAAAACCCCAGTTCAGACTGCAGTAGAGTTGAGTAATGCCCCCAATTCCGCAGGACTAAGTATGATCGGAGAGCCACCATGGCGCCAATTAGTCGTGAGGGCTTCATCTGTTGTCGTGGACAGCACTAGGGTGGCGGACTGGCTGCTGAATGCTGCCTGGCTGGCTGGCGAAGCCGCAACATCTGGCCGAGGTCTGCTTTGCGGCGCCCGTTGTCTCATCTGTAGACCTGCCGGAAGGGAAGAAGCTTCACCTTCGGATTCAGCATTCGCTGCTGCAGCAAGTGCAGCAAAAGGTTCCACACGGCATTTAGATGAGACAGATGCAAGGCACCTTTGCGGTTGCTGCTGCGCGTGCTGCCGGCTTTGGTGCCCGAAGTGCTCTGTTCGTTCGTTAGCCATGCAAGACAGTGGCGGTTTGTCGCGTCGTGGTGTACCCTTTCCTAGGTGCCTCTTCTCGGCGGCGCTCCACGCCTATGGTGTAGCTTGCTGCAATAGCTTCACAATTCGTGTTCTTTGTGATCCTGAAGAGGAGGCAATCAAAGCTGGCACTGCTGTGTTCCTCGTGGCCTCTCTGCTTAACCATTCATGTGCCCCTAATGCTATAACGGCATTTGGCGAGCCTAGAATCCAGTTGCAGCACCAGCAACAGCGACACCCGAAGCAGCTGTGCCAACATAAGCGCGAGGGAGATGCTGATTCTACTGCGGCGCAATATGCTAATTTAATTCCAAGCCCTCGTGGTGTTGGGCGGGGGGCGCTCCTACAGGTCCGGCTATGTGCCCCACATAATCGGGGAGGCAGTGACCGCCTACAAGAGCTTTGCATTTCTTACGGTCCGGTTGTAGGGCTGCCGAAGAGCTCCTGGGGCTTCCGTCAAGACTGGCTGCTCAAGCATGCTGGATTTTTTTGTCGCTGCGAAGTAGGTGTGCACTTCCTGCCCTCCGACCCTGTGTCCCCGTGCTCATTTCTGCAGCAGCGAGGGTCGAAACGCGCTTTCTAGTTGCAGTTTCCCGTATCTGCCGCAGCACTATAGCTGAATGGAGTATGTGTGTTGCCTTCTGCTGAGCAGGCCTGTCTCCCTCCGCGGGGTGACAGCAGTGCAGCCAATGCTGGAAACGTCGCCTTCCGATATGAACTACTGTGTGGCCTTCCATGTCCTATTTGCACTTCGATACCACGCGCACGAGAGCTTCTAGGAGGAATGCAACAGAACGCAAGCAGTGACCAGAAACGTCATGAGCTATTTGATGCGGCTGCACTTCTCAGACGCTGCTTAGGCTCCCACCACAAGCTGTTGGCAGAGCAAGCCGCTTGCTGTTCACTTTTCTCGAAAATGCCTACGAAAACATTGGAGTTTGTCACCGCCTTCTCGGAGCTGCTTCTTCCGGTTCTGAAAAATGGGGAGGGGCCGCAACGTTGGACTAGCACGCAAATATTGGCCCTTCTGGGTCATTCATGTGCGCCTTTATGGGCAACTACCCCTAAGGCTTTCCCTGACTCGTCCGCTGGCATATCATCGTTCCTAGGCAATAGAATACCGGTTTATGTATTCAGCGAACTCCGTTGCCTCAACTGCAATTCGCACTTTCCCGCCGGTGCCCTCGAAAGGAACCGAGAAGCCATCCAGGCGCAGCTGGATCGAAAACAAAATGCACTAAGAAGCCTTGTCAGCCCCTCCCTCCATGCCACACAGACACAGCGGGTGGAGCTTTTAACTGAGGTCTTGAACGATATCTTGCAAGCCATTCCACAAGCGGTAGCTGTCAGTGGCTGCCTGTCTACGGATGTGTGGCAAGCGTTGCAGAGCGCTGCCAGGGCTGCCCACGCGCAAGCAGAAGTGATGCGGCAGGTTCACACCGACTCCATCAGGTCTTTTGAGTCAGTCGGCTTGGCAGCAACTTGCATGTCAGCTGGCATCTATGTATTGTTGCACAGGCTTCCTTTGGGATTGTCGCAGCCAGAAGTGTGTGCGCAGATGTACAAGGCCGCTGTGTTGCTTGGCCAAGTAGGTGGTCGTTCACAGGCAAAACAGGTTCTGAGAGCCGCGATCAAGGCGACACTCAACTCCTGTGGGCCTCACAGCGTCAGCCAGAGTTCCATGAAAGAGTATTTACGATGGTTGGAGCGAGAAGATGAATAATGTACTCTGCCATAGAGTTCGGGGGACTTTCCACTGAGCAGGTTTCAAAGATGCAGCAGTTCCCCTGTGTGCAGTTCGTCGAACTCCTTCACCCACAGGGAGCTTCTGTTTTGAAGGGGCACGACGGCTCTACATGGTTACTGCCGCGGGCAGCATATGCTGGCAATGGTGACGAACCGCATGTAAATCCCTCCAAGGGTGATTTGGCAGACCGGCCCTCTGCCGGATAGTCAACACTGTTGCGCCATTCTTTCGGCAGTATCTAGTATCGGCCCAGTTGACAGAACAGGGAGGAGGCTGAAGCAAATAATTACCCCGTATGGGTAAACTATGGGCTGCTTCATATTAACACTATAGTCGTTACCCATTTCACGGATAATAAAATCCGGGGTTGCTCGGGAGATTGCAGAACGATGGAGCATCCACTGTTGTAGGCTTAGAGGCTTATGCAGCCTGTTTCCCGCTACATGCAGTTGCGAATGACGGTGTAGAGGCTGTGTGCCTTGCAGAACTCAGTATACAGGAGGCTGCACCACAGACGGTGGTTCACACTGGGGTGATTTCCTGGACACGTTTCGTTCTGTTCCGTCATATTTGGCCATATGTATTCCCCAAGGCTGTCTTCTTTAGTAGGACCTCGTGTTGCAGGTGCCGCATTGTATGCTTCCAGCAGTCGTCCTTAACAGCTGTAGGGCACTTCTCCATTGACAATATCGGTACCATGTACTGCGTGGCAATTTCCTGCAGCTTCGTAAACGTGCCTTTGTCGCGGGCTGCGCTTTTCGGCAACACAATTGCTTCGACGTCCTTTCTGAGCGCAATCATGAACGCACTTGATGGTGGATCATCCACCTGAACATACCGCAAGGATGTTGACTTCAGTCTCAGCCTCACCCTAGCTTGACCTCTCCATGAATGTTGCAGTCCACCAACGCTGCTGTGTCAGTGCCTTTCAATGTCGTCGGCTCCCTTGCAAAAGCCTGCACAACAACGATCAATTTCCCCGCTGGATCTGTACACATTTGCGTGCTGTTACAGGTTTAAATGCGTGCACGTTGAACTGCACTACAGACTCTTCAATGCTGGCCAATTCATTCTGTAAGACGCAACAAAGCCAGAAAGCTGTTTAGCAGAAAGCATAGGGCTGTACAGAAAGGGAACCCGGGCTCAACAACGGGAACTGTTTCCCGTGCCCGTTCTTTAAGCCGCCCTCCCTTTCCACAGTATTGGTCTGTGCGCTTACGGCTAAGGCTGCCAATGCCTCATGCCCAAGGGCCTCCAAGACATGCCACGGGTTGTTGAGAGTTGCCACTAAAGGTTCATGCCCAAACGATAACACTCCAGAACCATCACTCTGACTTGCTGAGATTGTAGCCCGAACCCTATATGAGTATAAAAGCGAACATAGTCAACATTTGGCGCGATGCCGACAAACGCAAACACCGACAGAGATGCTAAAGCGTACCACCGCCGGCCGAAGGACTAAAGAAGTTCCGAAAGCCTACCTAACGTGATCTTTCAAGATGATGCATGCTTCACCAGGTTGCGGCTCCCAAGGCGGTTGAAGTTTGCAATTTACGCTCACATACCCATATTTTGGGTGGTGTTCTGGTCGAACAGACTCATGTTCATACAAGCCAGAATAAAGCGCTTGCTCCCTTTCATTGCATTTGCGCAGGTATGTTGCGTCAGTTTGGGGTATTTCGAAGTGCGACCTGAGTTAGAGGCGAGCAAGAGGCCAATCGATCTACCGAACCGCAAAGCCCGAAAGCCAGGCAAAGCGCATCGTTACTATGTGGCTACCGAAGACGCATTCGTAAGTCTTACCTAATAAATCCGCCTTGCTCCAGGTGTGGCGTTAAGCTTACGATGTCGAAATATATGAGGATAGGAGCGCGCGTAAGAAGAAATTGCTCCAGACATTCGAGAGTTCCCTTTGGTTGCCCTGCCCGTTTGAAAACCTCCGCAAGGCGTTTCTTTGCTGCTGCACTTCTTCGGACGGACTGGTCAGCAACCAATTTCATTGCTGCTTGCTGGATGTCCGTTAGTGCACGCAGCTCTGGAGAATCTGTTGTTCGGAGGCACTGCATGCAAAGCGCCTGAAGTGCAGGGGACAATTGACGGTACAACTCGTGGAATACTAAAGACGCCAGAGGTTCATAGCTGCCCACTGCTGACCACATATTGTTCTGCGCCGTCAATCGCCTTCCAACGGCAGTGGTGTCCATGTAGGAAGGTCGTGTAATGAAGGCCGTAGGAGCAGCGGTGTCAATACGTGACTTCCCGAAGTGGCCGCGTGCATGGTGCGTCGCCTGTGAACGGTCCCTGCTCCCAAGTATGTTAGGACTCAAGTCGCCTGTGCTACTTCTTCTAGACGAGGAGATTTCCGCCGTGCTTCCGAATGTCGAATTGGAATCCAAGGGTCTTTTCGGAGCGTTGCCACCCTTGTCTGGCACTGAAGAGTCTCTGGGTTTGTCAGAGTGAAATTCCCTTGTTGGTACGTCAGGGCCCGAGCTTCTCGCAATATTTCTATTGGGAAAGCTTTCTAATTCAGAAGCGTAGCGCAATTCTGTGTTTCTGTGATTGCGTGAGCCCTTGCTAGGTATAGAGGACGACGATCGATTCCCAGACCCATCATGAGCGAAGTTCGTGCACTTCCCACCTACTTGCTTGTCGTAAAGTCGCGGGCGACGAGACACATCACTCACTGCCTCTACTTCTAGAGGAACATAGTATTGCTTTTGCTGCACTGCAGTGCTCTCAGAGAATGCCGTCGCCTGTGAACCTGGCTTCACGTACCTTGCCGAGGCCTTTTGGGTGCATATTGGCGTTCTCACGCCTCCAACTCTTGTTGCAGTCATGTTTTCAGTTGAATGGAGAGATACGTCTCCCCCTTGTTTCGAGTGACGCCAAACCATGCTATCACGACCGCTACAGTACCTCAGATGCTGAGCTAACTTTGTAGACACAGCGCTTTGCAACACTGATTCTAGGTTCTCAGATTTAGAGAGTGAATAGAAAGCTTGCCCGTCAAATGCATTAGATTCTGACAATTTTACGCTCCTCTGCTCAAGAAGAAGGTCGACGCTCTCCTGTGCCTGCAAAGCACCACATCGCAATGGCGTTGCCACTTTTAAGCATCAACTTCCCAACTGCACAGAGAAGGCGACACACCATTCGCAGAACCCAGAAACCAAACATACCGATGCCTGAGGACCAGTCGCGAGGGGGCGTTCCCGAACCGCCTCCTGTGCAGCGGTACTCGACTGGCAGCTTTCAAACAGAGCGGATTCGGTTCCTGAGCAGATTGCAAAAACGGTATTCGTTGCTGCAGTGCGGTTCAGCATACCAAACTGCCGTTATGAAAACCTCGTCTCCATATTCCCCGATTGGAAATGCCCACGCATATGCACACAACCAATCCAAGCCCACATGTATGCATTATTCACGTTCAGCTTACTGGTCTGAGCATTCGTTTTTCCGCAGTCTCCCTCTAACTCTCCAGTCAACTGGAATGAGAATCCTCTACTGCTGCGCAGAGGGAACTCATCAAACTGCTTCTTGCCTTGGTGATCAGCCACTCCACGCGGCATCGAGTACTCGCGAACATCGCTTAGTCGCAAACCCGCAGAAGCACTACTCGCAGATTGACGCAGATTGCTGGCCTCATCAGAGACGTTCGGCTCACACCTTCTGGTTCCTTCTTCAGATACGCCTCCTGTAGATCCTCTTCGCATGCTTGCTGATTTCCCATGAGAA